AGTCCCCTTCCCCTCATCCCTGGGCTCAGGCTTGGGAACCTCCCCCATCCTGTTGTTTCCTTCCTCCAAAACAGCAGCACAGATATATTTTTCCCAGCCCGCCCTCCTTGCAGGCCACTGACGTGTCCTCCTGTGTGAGCTTCCAGGCAGTCATGGCAGCCACCCCACAACCTTCCAGCACAAAGGCCCCTCCTGGCCCCTCCTCAGGCCCATGCAGTGGGGGAGGGTAAGGCATGTGTGGAGAGGGCATGTACGTCTTTTTTTGGAAAAAAAATTGAGGAAAGGATGTGGAGCTTCCCTTATCCACCCTGTGGTTCCCGACCCCTCGAATTCAGGAAGTTTTCTCTGTTGTCTGATCTCAGTCTTTCCTACTGCAGCCCAGTTCCTATTCTTTCTGTGGAAGTGTGGTTAAGAAGTGTCTTCCTACTGAGGACCTGGACAGAAGACCTGCTACAAGTAGCCTTCACTTCTCAGAAAGCTTGTTCCCCACAGGAAGGCAGTTATCAGAGGAACTGCCTGGAGATCATTGCCAGGGAGAGGGGAGATAGCATGATGGGGAGGTGAGGAGCAAGGTTCAAACAGCAGCTCTCCTACTGACTGGCTGTGGAAACTTGGGCAAGTCACTGCATCTCCCAGGCGCTCAGTTTCCTAAACTGTACTGTGTGGTAATGCTCACCTCCCAGGGTGGTTTTGAGGACTGGTGATCAGGAAAGCAAAGAGCCCAGTACTATGTTCCGGGCATTGCCAGCCCTGAAAGAATAGTTGTAGTTCTTGCACTAAGTTTATGAAAAGGCATCTCAGGGCCAGGGCTAGGACGAGGGCCAGGCAAGTGAGGCCTCTATGGTGTAAGATCTGAAGAGTCATCACTCTCAGGATTATGCAAGTGCACTCGCAGGACCTGAGAGTGAAAGGGATGTCTTCATAAATGTTGTGCCCCAAGGGCTTCGCCCTAGTCCCCACCTTGCTGTGCTCTAACTGCTGGCTTTGGGACTCTAGAGCAGAGGGGCCCGCTAAGAGCAGGGCTTGCTTTTCAGGTAGCAACCTGTTACCTGCTCCTAAACTGGATTCTGAGTTGTCCCTCCTGGAGGTAAGGGGGACTCTGGAAGACCCTTGGTGGGACAGTGAGTCAGCTGCTCTCACTTTGGAAAGCCTGGAGACCTTAAGCTCCAGGCTTTGTCCTGGGACTGGGCAGTGGGTGGGGTCAGACCTAGGGATCTGTCTGTGTTTGGGCTCCACCCACTTCATCCCTCTGCAGCTGACTTGAGGAGGAAGGAGAAGAAGAGCCCGCAGGGAGGTACCAGCTAACCCTGCCAGCAGGATGGCTGGGGCCAAGGGTGAGGGCAGTGAGATGAGCCTGGAAGTGGGCTTTACAAATCTGGGAACCAGCTCCAGTCATGCCACGAACCTCACCATGAAAGGCTCGACAGATCAGACCTCCCTGAACTTCAATTTCCCCATGTGTGGAACAGGGGGATGGAGGAGATGATGTCTTAAGTCCCTCTCAGAGCCCATGTCCCTAGGAGTGGCATGCAAGGATTGTGTGTGTGTGTGTGTGTGTGTGTGTGTTTGTGTGTGTGTGTGTGTGTGTGTGGTAGCTGTAGAAACATCCTGGCCAGGAATGGAGTGAAGACGAAGGTCAGGGGCTTCAGTTCCAGAGGGTCCCAGGAGTGCCAGCTGGACTCACTAGGCAGTGTCAATGGTAGGGCTTCCCACTGGCTCTGGTCTCCCTGCAGGGCATGGAGCAGTGGCAGCCTCAGGGGATCCTGCCCTCCTATTACTAGTCCCATGCCTTTTTCCTTCCCAGTAGCCCCTAGGCTGGCAGTGGTTGGGAAACAGAAATAGGACTTGAATCCTGGGAGAGTTGGGTTGGAGGGCAAAGAAGGGGTGGGCAGCATGCATACTGGCTGTGTTTGCAAACACTGCAGGACAACTTGGGTGTTTAGATGGTGTGGGGAGTGGGCGTTTGGGAATTTTTAGCTCCTCAGAAAGCATCTCAACCAGTAAGCTGAAGGCATCTGATCTCTGGCAAGCGTTGCCATGTGGCCGCCCTCCAGCTGGCATGGGGAAGGGGTGGGGGCAAAGGGGATGGTGCTCAGATGATCACTGGCAGGAGGAGAAAGTTTCTCTTGCACTGCTGAGGCCTGTGGTTTCTAATATTGACTTCAGCTCCCTTGTCTGCACCATGCCAGACCCAGGAGGGGTGGGGCAGGAGGGTCACAGTGAGGCAGGGTGGGCTGGAGAGGGCCTGGGCCTCAGGGATGTGAGGTGCTGCCCCAAGGGTAGAGATGATAAATAATAGTGATAGCTGACAAGTATTGAGAGCTTCCTAGTGTCTTGCACAGTTCTAAGTGCTTTATGTGCTTTATTGCATTTTATCCCCAAAACATAACCCTGTGCAGGCCTGTTGAGGAGCAGGAAGGACAAGGTGACCTGCTTAAGGTTGCATAGTTAGGTAGCAGCCGAGAGAATTAGCATGTGGACCCCAGCAGTCTGCTGCCAAGGTCTTTTAGGGAGCAGTAGGTCCAAATCCTGCCACCTGCTCCCAAGCTGATTTTGAGTTGGAGTTGTCCTGCCTGGTGGCAAGGGAGCTGTTAGCTCGGGCTGGTTGTTCTCGGAGAAGCATCTGGGACCTGTGTTGCCTGGAAACCTGGTAGAAATGCATGTCCTTGGGTCCCACCCTAGGTCTAACTGTGTGTATGTGGGGTGTGTATAACTGTGTATACAAGGCCCAGGCACCTGTGTATCAACAGCCCTCTAGGTGGTGCTATGCTCGTTCAAGTTTGAGACCCCTGGGCTCATGCTCTGTTGAGGGTCGAGGCCTATTAGGAGGCTTTAACCAGAGAAGGAAGAGGCTTTTCTGGGTCCTGAAAGGGCCTGGGGCAGGTGTATCATCTTTAGCTTGTCCACCCCATTCCGTGTCTGTCCATTCTAGCAGGCTGGGGAGCGGACAGGTCAGGAGTGAGGGCTTTGGGTTTGTGTCTCAGTGCCGCTGTGGTCTGCCTTCCGGGAGTTCCCTTCCTTCCCACAGGAGACCAGAGCAGCTCTGAGATGAGGCAGCTGGGCTGTTCTGCCCACCCTCAGGTCTCCACGTGGGAAGGACAGAGCCCCTGCAAAAGAAGGGAAAGGCTGGGGGGTGGAGAGGGCCTGGGGTGGCTGACACTGCTCTAGTGGGGGTGGGGTCCCTGGTAGAGGGGGGGGTGGGGCGGGGTTGTTGGCGGCTGAGGGGAGCACCTGGTCCTAATAAGCAGGCAGCTCCAAGAGCTCCAGCTTACCCTGAGTGGGCTAGGGGATTAGTGGGTTAGGATTAGGGCTGAGCTGAGAAAGGGCAGAACGTGGCATCTTTACTCCTCCTCCAGACCCATCCTCAGACTCTGGGTGGAGAGAAGGGGCTGTACCTAGCAGTGGGGAGGAGAGTGGAGGAGATGTGTGGGAGGGGTTTGCCCCGGTCCCCCAACCCCTGTGCCTGGACCCCATTGTCCCTTTACCATCCCCAGCTGCCTTGGCCCTGAACTGCTCAGGAAGTTTCATCCCCTGGAAAGGAGTTTTGACTTCAGCCGCCTGTCTTCCAGGCAGTAGGGGTAGACGAGTCTGGGCCATTTCCAGAGAGAGCACTGTTACCTCTGCTCAGCCCAGTCTGTTCCTCCATGCCCATCTGGGCCCACTCCTCCTCCCTGATGCGGGAACCTTTTAGAGGGGCATTCTGTCCATTCCCCTGCCTTTGGACACGAGCAGCTCCTCCCTCAGCTCTCAGGGATGGGGTTGTAGCAGCTGCCTCTTGCGCCGAGACACATGGTCTCAAACCTGGGTCACACTCGTCCTCGCCAAGCTGTGCTTCAGAACCTTTGCAGTTGTGCTCAGGCCTTTCTGCCCAATTTGAGGGCCCCATAACCACTTTACTGAGTTGGAAACGGAGCCCTAGATTCTGGTCAGGAGGTGAACCTGGCATAAGAAGTTTCTCTTCTTGCTATGGGGAGAAATCAGACCATCTTTAGTGGGAAGCCCTTCTGGTGCTCTGAGTGAAGAAAGGAGGGTGCCAGGGTAAGGAATGGGATCAGCCAACAGGCGTTTGTTGATGGCCTACTATGCATACATCCACCCTGGTAGGAGGGAGTTTCCAAATGAATTGGTCCAAATGTTGCTTTGAATCTATTTTGGATGAAGGTGGAATAAGAATCACAAATAAAACAGTAGTTGGGGAAAAAAGTCATGTGTTCCCATGATGAGATTATTCATACACTGAAGACCAGACAGGGAGGTGATTGGAGTTCAGAGGTGGGAAAGAGATCCCACTTGCTGCAGTGGCCAGGGAGGGCTAACTGGAGGAAGAGAGCCCTCCTTGTAGGAAAAGAGGGGAAGGCATTCCACGAGTAAAGACCTGGATGTGGGAACAAGCAAGAAGAGTTTAGGGGCCGGGGCTGATGGAGCAGAGCCTCTGTGCTTGGAAATGGAGGTGTGTGAGGCCCAATGGTGGGCGGCCTGAACGCCCACTGAAGGAATGAGACTGGCTGGCTGCACTGTTTCAGGCTGTTGGGATATCACTTAAAGCCCCAACATGGGGTTCAAATCCTGCCGTCTCTATTAGAGTTGATGATGTTGGCTCAGTCATTTAAGTTTCTTATCTGTAGAGTGGGGCTAAAAGGTAGCAATGGTACTCACCTCCTGGATTCTTGGGAATAAATGAGATGCTGTAGGTCATTGACCCCTCCAATTTGAGGGTCAGCAACTGTATGAACCAGAGGACTGACGCCGGGCACCGAGCGTGGGTCTTTGGTGAAGGTTTGTAGAACTGGATGGTTCTAGCACTATTAGGATGGTTTTCCGCATGCCACACTCTTCCCCCTGTGCTTGGGGCCAACCAGATTATGCCTGAGTCTTGGGTTGGCCTCATCATCCCTGTCTCAGGGGGCATTCTGCCCATCAGGGCCACCAGCCATGGGGAGAGAGCCCATCCCTGGGATGTCTGCCCTGAGGGCTCATGCTGTTTCTCCTTCTGTCTACAGCCCATCACCACTGAGAACACACCAAAGAATGTAGTGGATACGGTGAGTGATGGCAGATGGTGGTGGGGGGAGCCGGAACAGCCTGAGCAGGAGTGAGAAGGCCAGAAGTGGAGAGTGGATTTGGGGGAGAGCGGACAGATGTGGTTGGGGAAATGCTTCCAGAATAGATTTGGGGAACTTGCGGGGAAGTAGTGGGGTGGCTGCTGACGCTGGGAGAAGGGCGTCTGACTATCCCCGTGTGTTCGGAAATGGGCTGCTAGGCAACTGGGCAGGCAGAGAGGGAGAGGCGGGGTGGGAGCTGAGAGGGAGCAGCCGGTAGTTAAATGTGGGCTTCCTTATGAAATATGCAGAATGTGAGAAAGCCAGGCAGATCTTTCCAAACAGGTCTTTCTGACCTAGCTGAGATATGGACAGTTTCCTCCAGGCTATGTGCAAGATTGAAGGGAGGAAAGTAGGTGGGTTCCACAGTGGGGAAACTGAGGTTAACTGCTGAGAGAGATCTGGTGATGATCAGCAGGAAATCATGGGCTTGGAGATGAAGGACTTCAGTTCACATCTTGACTCAGCCAAGGTTCTAATTATGTTACTGTGGCCAAAGCATGAGCCTGTCTGTGCCTCAGTTTTCTTATCTGCAAAATGAGAATAACAGTATCTCCCACAGAAGTGGTTGTGAGTTGTAAACAAGAGGGTTTGGTTAGCTCTGAGGAGGCCTTGATATGAGCAAAGAAATGGGAAACAAACACCAAAGTTATTTCCAGGCCCCTCTGCCAACCTCCTCATCGGCCACTCCTGACAAATCCAGCAGGTGGAAGACCTGGGTGCGTTTTGATTACTTTTCTTGCCTCCCCTCTCTGACTGCCTTTTCTCTGTCTGCAGGGAGAAGGAGCCTCCCGGGGTGGAAACACACGGAAAAACCTCGAGGACAACGTGAGTGTGGAGGGGGAGAAGAAGGATGGGGCTGGGCCCTGGTGGCCAGGGGGAATGGGGTGAAAGGTGGATAATGCCTTGTTTTGTGGGCTTCCCTTACCTCTCTGTAGAAGGAGAGGCTGGGATTGTGGGCAGGCCCGTTTCCTTACAGGCTGCGCCTTCGTCTTGGCTGCCACCTCCACCTAAGCGGGATCCAGAGCTCATCTGTCCGCGACTGCGCCAGGCCTCAGTGCTCAGGCTGGGCGGGAGGAGAGAGGGCATGCTATGGCAGCCTGGTGTGTGATGAGTGGCCATGGGGAGCAAGGGGAAATGCGCAAAACCACAGCAAGGGAAACTGAGGGCTGAGGCAGAGAAGGAGCCCTGACTCTTGGGGCCGTCTTAGTCCTTGGGGAAGTGGTAGGGCCTGCTTCCCTGGAGACAAGAGTCTTAGAAAATAGCAAGCACCACTGTGTGGCTTAGATGCTGTTGCTTCAGGAGGAGGCTGGTAGATGGGTCCACGAGTCCCCCTGGGCTCCTCCTGCCTCCCATTTTGGGGAGAGGGGAAGGGGCAGATGCCTGAAATGGAAGGATCCCGCAGAAGGGCTCAGAGGTTCTTCCAGGACGTGCTTTGAGCCCCGTTTGGGGTTGGGCTTGTCTCCACACCCCAGGGGCAGACTCCCAGCACAGTCGGGCTTTCTCCTTTCTTCCCTGCCCTTCTCTGACAGTGCCTCCTGTGCTGGCCCCTCCATCTTCACCCGCCCTGGGCTGCAGAGGAACAGGGAGTGGTTTTGGTGGTTGGCACAGGGGTAGATGTTGATGGCACGAGGCCCTATCATCTGACAGCTGCCTGACCCACGGTGGGGAGGGCCCTGGAGGGAGTGCTGCGGGAGCAGGAGGGGCAGCTCCTATAGGCAGCCTGACTCCTGTGGTGAGCCCACTGCCACCGCCACATTGCCCTGGGGCAGTCCTGCATGTCCAGCCCTACAAAGCAGCGGCATCCCAAGGGCCGCATGGGACCTCTCCAGGTGGAGCAGGGAGCATGCCTCTTAAATTAGTGGGGAAGGCTCTGCTCAAGGTATGCGTGAGTTCCTCTGGGCATGGGGTACTCGTACTGGGGAGGGGCCCTTGTCCCTGTTTGTGATGTTTCTGGGGCTGGGGTGCAGGGGGAACCTAATCTTTTGTGTGTACCTACTACCAAGGATGTACAAGCTTCATGTACTCAAAATATATCATACATGCTCAATAACTGTGAGCCATTCTTATTACTGTTATTTTGACTAAGGGCTGGGAGCTCTGTTGGCTGTTTTGAGATCCTCCTGACACCCCTGTATGGCAGAGCCTATGAGTCCACTTTATAGATGAGGAAACAGAGGCTTGGCATTGCTGAATGATTCGGTGAATGCCACTCCATCCCTTCGTGGGACTGCTGCTGGGGTCTGGTGTTATCCCGAACTCCTAACCTTTGGCAAGGGGACAGGGTGATGGTGTGTGAACCAAGCCTTCTAGCCAATGGTCTGGGCACACTCAGGAGCCAAATCCTAGAGCTGCTGTCCCCACATTCCCAGCCTGGGCCAGATGGATTCCGTCAACTAGAGTTACAGCAAGAGAGAGTGAAGTTGGACATCACGAAGAACTTTTGATTGCAAGAGTGTGCACGACCTTGGTCCTAGGGAAGAAAGAGGTGGCCGTTTATTTGTGACTGAGGCTCTTTGACTTTTTTAAGAAGAAAGTATTGGTGATCTGGGATGGATGTGTCTGTGCCTGTGTGTCAAGATGGGTAAGTGTGCTGTCTTGTCTGGATATGGGAGGAGGGACAAGATGAGCTTTGGAAGGGTAAGCAAGTGAGCAGTTACCAGAACGGCCTGTGTACTGCAAAAGAGGAGAGAAAACCTAAATTTTAAGGCTCCTGTCACCTGTCTCAGGTTGGGTTGGCCCCAGGGTCATTGAGCCAATCCCCTGCCCAGCCACGGGACTCTCCAGCAGTCCACCCCGGGGGAGGAGGACCTGGGCCTGCTGCTTGATAATGTGGCTGTTTGTCAAGCTGCGTTGCTGTCTCTGGCTCACGGCCCAGGACTCACAGGCAGGAATGGCTGTTTTCCTCCTGCCGAGTTGGTGTGTAGTGGAGTTTGTGGACAGTGTGCTGTGTCGCACTTTGTTTTGGAAAAATCCAGGCTAGTGGGCAGGAAGGAGAGGGGAAGGGGTGTGGCTGAAGGGGGTGCTATGTGGGGGTTGGCCACAGCCCCCAGAGGAGATGTAGGAATGGGGCCGGGCCCCTGACGTAGGTCAGTCACCAATCTCTGGCTGCCTGACAAGGCCCCTGGTGTTCGCTTACAGACCCTCCTCCCAACTGTGCCCCTCTGGGGACCTGGGCTCAGGAAATGGCTTTTCTTTTGGTCCTGAGCTGTTGTGTTTGGTCTGTGGACCTCAAAGGAAGGCAGGGCTCTTCCCACAGAGGCATTGCTTCAAACCAACCCCACCCAAGGCTGGGGGTTCCTGCTCCTTGCCTCAGGACGGGGAAGAAGGCGGCAGATAACAGAACCTGGGGTCACAGACCTTGAGCGACCCAGTAGTGTCTGAGTGGTGATCAACTCTTGCCTGCAGTGAGGACCAAGGCAAAAAGAGTTGGCTGAATCTGCAGCAGGAAGGATGAGGGTTAGATACCAGGAGGAACTTCCTGACAGTGAGAAAAGTAAGACACTATGTCCGGGAGGCTGTGGAGTCTCCTTTCATGGTGCCCTTTCAGCAAAGGAAGGACTGTGTTTTGGAGGTGAGGATAGGGGAGAGTTCTGTTTGGTGTTTAGAGAGTTGGATGAAAAGTTCTATAATCGATCTATGTCTTGAGAGGAGGTAGGAAGAAGTTCAGAGCCATGTGGGTAAAGTGCTTTGTGATCCCCAGAGAGGAAAAGAATAGGATTACAGGCAGGCAGAGAACTTATTTTTCTTTTTAAAACAGTTTGTAAAGTCCTGTAGTCGTTTGCCCTAGGGGCTCTATGCAGAGTAGGCAGAAGATTGTGTGAGCGCTGTACGGGGCCCATTTTACAGATGGGTAAATGAGACGGAACCTCTACTCCTCACGCTGGGTCTGTTGATGAGTATCACGGTCCGTAAAATACAAGCTCTCTGAGGTCAGGGACTTCACTTCCTTTGTCCCCTGGTGTCTGGAGCATGGCCGGGCACACAGCTGGTGGCACTCGGTGGATGTTTGCTGAATGAGAGAGTGAGCATGAAGATTGGAGGCTCAGGGATGACCGGATGCCTTGACTTACTCCCACCGTGCTTGTAAAGAGCTACACGATGAGGCATGCTTCCAAAGGCGCCATCGCTAGCCTCGTGTGAGGTCACCTGTGTTTCTGGAGTACTAGGGTGTGTTTGCTGACATGCCGCACCCCCCCGCCCCAGCCCATTTGTTGTTCTCTGAGTTCTGTCTGTGTGCACCGACACTCAGACGTGTCACCGTGCATGTCTGCTCTCTCTCTGCCAGCAAGGGTCACGTGCCCCCAAACTTTGCAGAAAACAGGAAGCCCCGTCAGTGAGAGGGCAGCCCAGTGATTCATCAGGGGATGACAGTCCCAGCTGTTCGTCCCCCATCCTCCTCAGTGGGGTCACTGTCCAGGGTGGCTTCCTCCCCCTGCCCCCCTCTCCCCCCCGCCCGGTGGAGCAGAGCGGGCTTGGACTTTGCCTTATCACCTCTGGAGGCGGCCTGGCCAGACTCTGTTTGGGCCAAGTTTTTATTTATCTTCGCTGGCTTTTTTTGGGGTGGGGAGGCTGAGGAATGTGGAGTGTTGTAACGTTTGGAAGAGGGCGGTGGGGAAACGGGAGCCAGGTCTGCTGCCCTGCTCGTCCTGCTTACCCCTGCACCTTTGCAGGCTCCCAGCTCCCCTTGGTTCCCCAGTTCCCCCTGCCAAGCCCATCTCAATATGGGCCATTGTCTTTCTCCAGCTCCCTGGGTCTGGTCCCATGCTCCCGGCCACACCTCACGTCTTGGCTACCGTTGTGGCTTCCAGTTGTTCAAAGCAGCTGTGGTGGCTTCCTCCAAAAGTGGCTACGGATCAGCAACAGATGAAACCCAAGGGGCTATTTATAGCAGGATGGCCCTGGGGCCTGGAGCAGGGCCTAGGGCCTGGGGAGATTCAGGGACTCCTCATTAGGGACCAGTGGAATGGAGATGGATGAAGTGTTGGGTTTCTGTGTTCCTCTGAGCGGGTAGTTTTGGAACAGCCTGGTTTGGGTCTTGAAAACCAAACACAATCACTCCTTGACTCCCAGCTCCACCCTTCTCTAATCCCCCCACCCCCAAGCTTGACTCATGCAAACTGGAGTCCTCAGGGCCAGAAGAGCTGTGAGACTTAGAAACTTCCCCCCGATAGCTCCACTTGGCTCTTCCCTCCTTCACTGCTGCGGGGCTGTTCATTGGTCCGAGGCAGCTGGGACAGAGCGGACTCCGGGCAGAGCCTTCTTCCCGAAGGCTGGATGGAGGGTCCCCCTCTTAGCAGAGCTGCTCTAACTTGGGGCTCAGCTGGGAGCTGGGCCTCGGAGCCCACCTATCCTGCCTCGTAGGCACTGCAGAGCCAGGAGAGGGGTGCAGGGTCTCCTCTTCTTGGAGACCCCGTGGTCAAGCCCCAGGTTGGAGTGTGAATCCTGCCTGGCCACCAACTTCCTAGGGACTTGAGGGTAAGTTATTCTGTGCCTCAGTTTCTTCCTTTCTTGGCAGATTGTGGTCCTGTCTCCTCGAAGAAGAGGCTGCAAGTTGGTGGGAGGAAAAGGCCATTTTCTGAGAGGCACATGGGTGTTTGGAAGGTGTCAATGGGCTCAGGAGGTCTGAGAATCTAGAAGCTGGGCATCCCGATTCTGCATCCTATGAGGTGGCTGGAAGGATGGGTAGAGGCGATGCAGGGTGTTGATTTTCTATAGAGGTGAATGTTTGGTTGTAACTACCCTTTTCATTTTTCTTGGTACAAAAGTAATGACAGGAACAACAGCTGTGATCTGGTGAATGCCAGGCGTGATGAGAAGTGCTTTGTATGCATAACTCCTTTGGATTCTCACCGCCAGCCTGAAGGTTGCCCCATTTTACATGTGACATTACAAGAGGCTCAGAGGGGTTACATTACAACTGGCAGGGCTGCCCAGCAGGATCCTGGAATCCAAACTCCGTGATCTGTGGGCCTCTGACCCTGTGCTTTCACACCCGCCATGCCATCCTGCTATCCTGGGATGGATTGGGCCCATTTGCTTAAGTTTGTACCACCCGACAACTGTGAAAAGGGGAGTGGGTAAGATGGCTACTGTCTGCCACAGACAGTGGGGAGTGGGCCCTCAGGAGTATGGCTCATTGCCTTAGGCCTCGTCTTGGTTCCTGCATGCTCCACCTGGCTGTTCTGGTCTCTAAACTCAAGTGAATGACTTGACGTCACTGCTTTCAAGCAGAGAAGTGTGGGGTGACGGTGGCAGGACAGAGGGGCGCCATTACTCTCATCGCTCCTGTTTCTTTCGTGGTGGCAGTCGTATTCTCCTCTTGGGGTTTCTCTTGTGTGGGTTAGTGAGTCAAAGTGAAATGTGTTTCCACTGAGTCCGTAACTGTTGAGTGTGCCCTCAGTGTGGATGGCACCAGCCCGGTGGGGTGCACTCCTCAGCATTCGGGATTTCTTCCTTTCGTCCCTCTGGGGCTTGCACACAGGCAGGCACACTCACGTGAATCAGTGTTGATGGCTTTGGCTTCGGGCGGGCTGTGTTTTTGCAGGGGTTAGGGTGGCAGGGTCGGAATGTTGGCAGGGAAAGGAGAAGAGGATCGTGTTTGCTCCTGTGGACAGCTCTCTGGTGTGCTCCTCCCGTCATCCTGCCCACCCCTGCATAATGCTGCTTCTCTTTTCTCCTTCTCAGGGCTCCGCCAGGGTCACCCCGAGTGTCCAGCCCCACCTCCAGCCCATCAGGTATGCCTGGCCTATGGGGGCAGCGGGCGGGAGTGCAAGCAGGGGGGTCACTGTGGGTGTTCCTGTTAAGTCTTGACTCTGGGTGCCCCAGACTGCAGCCATAAAGCCACGGGTGGGGAGTGTGGGCAAATGTGAAAGGCACAGGAGAGGATGGGTGCAGATACCCTTGGCAACAGTTGTGTTTTGAGCTCTTAGCCAGACCTTGAGCTGAATCTGTATTTACCTGCATGAGCTCATCTAGTCCTTGCAACAACCCCGCAAGGTACGTATTTTATTCCCTTTGGTAGAGCTGCGTTTCAGAGAGATGAGGTGACTTGTAAAGGTCACACAGCTACCAAGAAGCAGCACTTGGATTTGCATTTAGGGCTGGTGGGCATCGAGGCCTGTGCTGAATCTCTTCCTCTCTGCAAACAGGGGGTTCTGACTGGGCAGAGTAGTTTACAAAAGGAAAGTTCCCTATCTGGCTAGGCTGGCAGGAGCCGGGGGAAGGGGATGCACGAGGGACTTTGTGTCTTAGTGATCCAGAGAGTTTGTTTTGCTCCCCTCCCCTTCTGCCTCACCTTCACCCACTGAGGCTCCTGAGATGATCGGGGATGCCAGCCTTGGGGTAGAGTGGAAGCCCCTGGCAGTTTCTGGCCCTGCTGCTGGCTGTCCACAGACTGGAGGTGGCTTCTTAGAGGATCCCTTCCTTCCCTCAGACCTGGGCAGATGGATTCAGAGTGTGATGCTGAGGCTGTCCGGCTGGTGGCACTGTTCTGCCTTTGCGTCCTTCCCGGGGTCCAGCCTGTAGACAGGGGCGGGTCAGCGTCCCTATGGGCCACGTCTGACTCACAGCCCTCACCAGCACCTCTTGCTCCCCGTCCTGTGCTGAGGGAGAGGCAGAAATCACAGGAGCTTGGGCTTGCGAGTTTTTCTGACATTCTAGTTTCTTCCTTGGAGCCAGGACAGAGAGGGGTTTTGGAGGGTGGGGAGGAGGGGATGCTGCAAGTTAGCTGAGGCTCCCCGCCCTCACACCCACTTGCTTGCAGGTATGTGTGCATGTGGCTTCTTGTCCCAGACTGGTCACCACCTACAAGAACTGTCCTTGGGTAGGCAGTTGGCCTGAGATAGAAACTTCACCACCCCCACAGCTGCAATGAGAAGCTTTCCATAGGGACAAGAAGTGGCCGGGACTCAGAGTCAAACTCAAACTGGGCTCCTTACCTCCGGGTGCTGGTCCCCAATCCCACTTGGGCCCCTGCCATCCCACCAGAGAGGTCCTGCCATGCCTCATCCTTGGCTTCCCCACCTCCACACCCCACCTGGACTGGAATTGAACCCTGGTGGAGGTCTGGATTCTTCACGGCTTCTCAGCATCCGGGGCCTTGTTCTGTCTAGTGCCAGAGAGCCCTCATAACTTTTAAATATCCCGGCGGTATTCCTTTCGCTGTTCTCTACTCTCCACTTTATCCCGCTGTGGTGAAAGGTTAGCAGAACGAAATGTGAGTGCTGCCTGCATTTGATAGAAGGGGAAGCGAGACACTAGGAGGTTGATGATGGGGTAAAAAGCTGGAGGGATGGGGGAGGTGCTTCTACAAGCAAGAGGTGGGCTTCCCCAATGAGCATCCTTGACCCTTCCTCTGGAAGAAAAGTTGGGAGAGATGTAAAGATGTGAGCCCCTCCCTTCCTCACCCGGTGCCCAGTGGAGAGGATGGCCAGCCCAGGGACCTCCCCACCTCTCCGGGAAATGCATGGTGCTGGCAGCTACCCACCACTGCAGCAGCAAGGGCTCCATGCCCTCTTGTTTCCTGGGCCCTTAGAAATCAGGGAGGCCGCTGCCAAGAAGCAGCTCTGGCAGGCGGTGGGAGCTGCCAGAGGTGGGGAGAAGGCCAAGGAACAAAGGGCAGGAGTTGGCCTGCCTCTGGGAGGGCTGGAATGTGTGCTGTGGTCTGGCTTACCTGGAACCCAGGTGAACATGTCACCTGAGCTGCCCTCTCCCCTGAGAGGTCTCCCGCCCACTCCACAGCTCAAGAGAGAGAGGGGCGGGCAGTGGAAGGCTCTGTTCCAGGGCTGGAGAGTGTTCAGCGCAGGCTCTCCTTCCTCTTCCAGAGCAGTGTGGGGCCTTTCGGGAGACTTCTGCCTGGCCAGGCAGTCACAGTGTCGGGAGCCAGAGCTCTGAGTTCCTGGGCCAGTCTGGCCCTGGCTCTGAGCTCTGGAGTCACAGGTTGAAGGCAGTGGACTGATGGGAACCAAGAATTGGTGTTATCAGTTTGGTTCTGAAATGGCCTGAGGTCCTTGCCAGCCCTACCCAGCTTGATCTCACCGGCACTCCCAAGCTGGCCACACTGGCCTTGCCAGAGGAAGCCTCTGGCCTTGGCCTTGGGTTGAAGAGCAGCCAAGCACCCTGGACTGCAACTGGGGGTCACACAGGATGTGTATGGGGTGCAGCTATCTGGGGCCTTCCCTGTGGGCTGGATTCTGATCTGGACCCTCTGCTGCCTGCTGTCTCCCTAGAAACATGAGTGTGAGCCGGACCATGGAGGACAGCTGTGAGCTGGACCTGGTGTACGTCACAGAGAGGATCATCGCTGTCTCCTTCCCCAGCACAGCCAATGAGGAGAACTTCCGGAGCAACCTCCGTGAGGTGGCCCAGATGCTCAAGTCCAAACATGGAGGCAACTACCTGGTGAGGATGGGGCCTCGTGCCCATCGTCCTGTGCCCTCTATGCTTCCATCTGCTAGCCACCTCTTCATGGCTGGTATCCCTGCCACCAGCCCCTGTGCCAGCCCACCCTCTTCTCTTTGTTTATCTGCCCTTCTCCTCAGGCAGCTCTCTTGCCTGAGTCTTCCATCACTCTCCAGCCCAGCTCTGCTCTAAGCAGTGTGCTGCAGCTGGAATGTGGCATCTGGAACTCTGTGTGTGCATGTGTGTGCTGGCCAGGAGAAGAGAGTAACAGTAAGAGTTCAGGTTATCGAGTGCTTGCTACTAGCCAGGCCCTGTTCCACGCACTTAACCTTTGCAGCAGCCCTAGCAAGCAGGCACTTGCTAGAGCACAGAGAGGTGGGGTTATTTGCCTAAGGTTGCAGGGTCAGGAAGTGGCAGAGCTGGCACAGGGTCGGTGCCTCTGAGAAGTCTGAGGGCAGAGTCTTGGCAACATGTGTCTTAAGGGACCCTGGGTTGCTGGCACCTGGCTTGGCCTGGCCCAGAAGAGTCACCTTAGCACATGGGAGAGAGGTACTGGCAGTGGTCTCCACTAACGCAGAAAGGCTGATCCGTCCTTGGCCCCAGAGGAGGGCTGGGGTCCATTTTAGAGGCAGGTGCCTGTGGACTGGACCCACAGATCTGATCTGTACAACCTCAGGTGGCTGCCCCCAGGGTGTTTGAGGTGGGATGTAGGAGGCCACATTAGTTTCCCAGGGCTGCTGTAACAAATGAGGCGGTCCTTTCTATCCACAAGTTTCACCTCTGTGGATTCAATCCACCATGAGTTGAAAATACTCAGAAAAAACCCAACAGTAAATAACAATAAAAAACAATACAAATAAAAACAATACAGCAGAACAACTATTTGCAGAGCGTTTATATTGTATTAGGTATTACAAGTAACCTAGAGATGATTTAAAGGCTACAGAAGTATATGCATAAGTTATATGCAAATAGTACATTTTTTATATGCAAGTTGTATGCAAATAGTACATATTTTATGTAAGAGACCTGAGCATCCATGGATTTTGATATCCACTGTCCACGGCGGGGTGGAGCGGTCCTAGATCCAAATCCCCCATAGATACCAAGTGATGACTCTACCTCAAATTTGGTGGCTCAAAATAACAGAAATTTATTCTCTAACAGTTCTGAAGGCTGGAAATCTGAAATCAAGGTGTTGAGGGGGCCATACTCCCTCTGAATCCTATGGGCAGAATCCCTTCTTGCCTTTTCCTAGCTTTTGGTGGGATTCCTTGGTTTGTAGCGCATCACCCCAATCTCTGCCTCCATCTCCATGTGGCCTTCTTCAGTGTCTCTGTGTGCCTTCTCTTCCTATAAGGACATCAATTATTGGACTTAGGGTCCACCCTAGATCCAGGTTGATCTCATATTGAGATCCTTAACTACTTACATTGGCAAAGGCACTGTTTCCAAATCAGGTTGCATTCTGAAGTTCTGGGTGGACATGACATTTTGAGGATACTATTCAACCACTGTAGAGACCCATCTGTTAGCTGCATTGGGGCATTGTTAAGAGCCTGGCTTTAAACATCAGAAAGATCTGGGTTCAAATTCTGGCTCTCCTTTTACTAACTACATGATCTTGGCTGTTTAGCCTCACTAAGCCCTAGCTTCTGCATCTGTGAAGTGGGTCTAAGATCTACCTCTTACAGTTGGTGAGAGAATTAAGCCAGCTGTTAGATGTAAAGTCCTTAACACAGGCTGGCAGGTGGCAGACATTCATTGAGTGATGCCTATTGTAACATAATAAAGTGTATTCCTTTACAGAGTGCAAGAGTGGATGAAAATCCACCTATTTCTGATTTTAGGAGTCCAGGGTTCTATGGGACTTGGTGCCCTGCCACCCCTCTCTCTATCCTGCCTATTCCAGACTGGGCTGTCCCCTTTTCTCCCCAGGAGATGACACAGTGGCCTTTGAGTTTCCCAGGCAGTGGTGTGGAGGTGGGAAGTTCTGCATGCTCCCCTCGGAGGTAGAGGCAGGAATTCCAGAGACTGGGGAATTCCATGGGATTCCAGTGGTTAGGAATGGGACCCCAGTGGTCAGGCATTGAAAGGCATGTGCTGGGAGAGGTATGTCAAGGGTCTGATTGGGACCACCTAGGATGGTTTGCCCCTCTGATGGAGGATGTCTGGTGACAGAGAAGTTGCAGCCTCATGGGATGAGGTTCTAAGGTCTATGTATGAAGTGGAAACCAGAGATTGCCAACTACTTATCATCTCACACCACTGGATTCCCGTTCAGTGTGACGAGAGGCAAGCAGGACTGGAGACAAGTTCCATCCCTTTCTCATCTTCAATGCAGGATATCCGCTCATGGAGCAGGGTGGCTCAGTGTCCTCATCTCTCTCTCTCTCTCCCTCTTCATCCTGAGGACCTACAGTTTAGTTCCTCTTGGTGACGGTGTGTCTGCTGGGACTCACCTGCATGTTCATGTATGGATAGAATTCCTATCAGGGGAGAGAGAGTGAGAGCAGGTACAGGAGGTCCAGGGAGCTCACGGCTGTTTCGTGGCCAGGCCTCTGGCTGTGGAAGGACATTGATGCCCTGCTGGGTGCTGTCGTGGGCTCTTCAGAGGAAGTTGGTGATGATGCCACCATCCTTTCTGGGACCAGCAGCCCATGGTTCTCTCTCCCCCCACTGCGCTCCTCACTCTCACCTCCTCATGCTCTCTTCCTTTTTCTCCTTCTAGCTGTTCAACCTCTCTGAGCGGAGACCTGACATCACGAAGCTCCATGCCAAGGTGAGCCAGTGGCTGTTTTGGGGTGGGGGAGGAGAAGGAGAACAGATGGACTCCCTGTCTGCGGTTCCCACATAATAATCTTGGGGAAAATGCTGTGACAGTTTGAAAAGCCTATTCAAAGTCAGAGTGCCATCTTATATCTGGAAAATGGAAAATGATCTATTTATCCTTTCCATAATGTAAATTACAGAAAGCAAAGCTTGGGGCAGTGACTTTCCACCCAGGTCTGCCTGCTGGGGAGTACACAGAATCTCTTGGGTGAGACTGGAGTTGTGAGATGTTTAGTTTTTGGATTTAAAGTAGTTGGGAGTTGCTGCTTTTGACCTTCCAGCTGCCATTTTTTGTTTTTTGTTTTTTTGTTTTTTTGAGACGGAGTCTCCCTGTGTCGCCCAGGCTGGAGAGCAGTGGCATGATCTCAGCTCACTGCAACCTCTGCCTCCCGGGTTCAAGCGATTCTCCTGTCTCAGCCTCCCGAGTAGCTGGGACTACAGGTGCCCGCCACCACACCTGGCTAATTTTTGTATTTTTAGTAGAGACGGGGTTTCGTCATGTTGGTCAGGCTGGTCTCAAACTCCTGGCCTCAAGTGATCTGCCCACCTTGGCCTCCCAAAGTACTGGGATTACAGGCGTGAGCCAGCGAGGCTAGCCCTGCTGCTGCTTTTTACTCTGTTTGCTCGAGGGGCTGTGCGCGGGCTTTGCCATGGGCATCTGCTTCTAACTCTGAGAGTTCGGTACATGCTGCTCTGTGACCCTGGGGGCGTGACGGACGTCTCTGGGCCTCAGTGTGCCCCTCTGAAAGTGGCCTGACTGGATTAGGTGTGCTCTACGGGTCCTTGCAGAGTTCTCTTTTACTTTAAAGTTGGTGAGTCTAGAAAGGTTTTGAGAGGCCCGAAGCCCGCTCTTCAGGTCTGCCCTTTGTGTCCTTCAGGCTGCTCTTGACTGGCCTGGAAAGTGGATGGTTTGTGTGTCCAGGGCTTAGAAAAGAGTCATGAGCTTTTTCCTCTCTCAGCCTGAGCCAGGCCTCAGGGCTGTCCGTGGGAGAAGAGCTTGAGGGCAGTGCTTGGGGCCCCTCAGCACGTTGGAGGTCAGTTCTATGGTAGGGACCTTGGGGTCATCAGCTCCAAGCCTTTCTTTCTTTTTTTTTTTTTTTTAACACACATATGGGGAAATTGAGACTGGAAGAGGACATGAGGCATAAGGCCCCACAGTGAATCAGTGCCAGGGCCAAGACCTGGACCCAGGGTTCCCAGTACTGGGTCATGCACGGCCTTTACTCTTCACACCCCTGCCTCCTTGCTGACCAGTGGGCAGGGGGAACCAAGTCCTGGCAGGAACCAGCAGCTCCGGGCCGCTGCCCCGATACTGGCACGTGGCGTGGGCGGCTCCCGCTGGCTTGGTTGACTCTGCAGGACTTCTGCCCTCTTCTCACTCATGGCTTGCGCCGTAGGTACTGGAATTTGGCTGGCCCGACCTCCACACCCCAGCCCTGGAGAAGATCTGCAGCATCTGTAAGGCCATGGACACATGGCTCAACGCAGACCCCCACAATGTCGTTGTTCTACACAACAAGGTCAGAGCTGTGGCATGTGTGTGTGTGTGTGTGTGTGTGTGTGTGCGTGCGCGCGCGCGCGCGCCTGAATCTGTCCTTGGATGATCATGTGTACCTGCCTATATCCTTGGATTTTGTGAGCATATAAGTCTGTGTGTATTTTTCTTTCTAGGGGATAATAGATTCTGTCTGTCTTGGGGGGTACCTTTTTCTTTCTAGGGGATAATAGATTCTGTCTGTCTTGGGGGGTACCTCTAAGAAGTGCAGGTGACATCAGCTTATGTCCATGGCAGTGGATGATTAGATGTGTTTTTTCTGAGACTTAGTCCCCACCTGCTTCCCTCCCCTGAGGCCTCCTTCCTCCTTATGTTCTCCCTTAAATCCACATTCCTCTCTCCAGCCCTAATTCCTTTCCACCAAGGCTTCTAGATAAGCTCTGGGGCAGCAGGGCTGGCCTTAGAAATAAATGCTTTTGTGTTTGGGGGTTCTTTCAGGGAAACCGAGGCAGGATAGGAGTTGTCATCGCGGCTTACATGCACTACAGCAACATTTCTGCCAGGTAAGAGGGGCCTGGAGCCACCCATCCTCTGGAACATTGACAGTGTGACCCCCTTCCTCTCATCCACCCACAGCCTCTCTGTTCCCTGGAGTGAGGGGATAAGCACAGAGGGAATGCGAAGCGATGAGGACCGGTTCAGGGGCCCCCAGCTCTGAGGCAGGAGCCTGTGGACAGAGGGTGGGAGGGAAGAGAGTCCGGTTCTCTTTTGAGGGCTCTGGTGGGGCAGGCTTGGGAGGCAGGCCTTGTCCTGAGCACCCCATACGGCCAGCTCCTTGGAGCCACATTTCCTTGCCAAACTGCCTTCTTTCTCCCCGGGCCAGCAGGAAGGGAGTCAGAAAGAAATGTCGGATCAGATCTGGGTCTGGCAAAACAATATAGAATATAGAATATAGAAGTTGTCTCATGCATTTCTCTGCCTCTGGACAACAGGGGGCCCTCTTCCTACCTAGGTGTTTGGAACAAGAGTAAAGAACATCCAGTCACTGACTCCCTTTCCTATCCCACTCTTCAGGGAGGCAGAGGGATTCACCCATTCATTTTGTTATCCATTCAACAAGGAATATGGCCAGGCACAGTGGCTCACACCTGTAATGCCAGCACTTTGGGAGGTCAAGGCAGGTGGATCACTTGAGGTCAGAAGTTCGAGACCAGCCTGGCCAACATGGTGAAACTCTGTCTCTACTAAAATACAAAAATTAGCTGAGTGTGATGGGGCGGGTGCCTGTAATCCCAGCTACTCAGGAGACTGAGGCAGGAGAATCTGGGAGGCAGAGGTTGCAGTGAGCCGAGATGGCACCACTGCACTCCAACCTGGGTGACAGAGGGAGACTCTGTCTAAAAAAGAAAAAAAAATAAATATTGGACAGCCAATGTGCCAGGCTCTGTTCTAGGCGCTGAGAATGCAGCAGAGGGCAAAGCCAGGTCACTGCCTTCATGGGCATTAAACACGCAAACAAATACATTAGTAATAGCAGATGCTAATTATCATGAAAGAGTAAAGGGACTCGAGAAGGGCAGTGGAGAGGCAGGTATATGGTCAGAAGAGGCCTCTTGATGAGGCGACACTGGAGCAGAGACCTGAGTGACCAGGATGGGAAGGGCTGAGCCATATCAGGCCTGAGGGATGAGCCCTGCACACTGAGAGAAGAGGAAGGACGGGAATGTGAGGGGCTGGCGTGTTTGAAGCTGAGCAAGTGAGGCAAGAGGAAGAGGAGCGTAAGCTAGGAGGTGGCAGAGCCATGGGGCCTCATGGCCTCACTGAGGACTTTGGAGTTTGCTCTAAGAGTGATGGGAAGTCACTGGAGCTTCGTGATCTTTTCATTTCAAAGTGATTTCTCTGAGCGCTCTGTGAGGACGGGTAGAATCTTCTGTGGAGGGCCTGCCAGGAGGCTGTAGTGTTAGGACTTTGAGCAACCCAAGCCAGTCTCATCTTTGCTTAATGATGAGCAAAGATGAGGCCACACCCCTACTGTACTCCTGTACCCCTATTGTGTGCCACTTGTGCCAAGCTCTTTATGGATGTTCCCTCGCTTCATCTCCCTTTATGGATGTTCCCTCACTTCATCTCCATAGTCACCTTTGAGGAAGGGGCAATTATCACACTCATTTGATGGGTGAGGAGAATGACGTTCGGAGAGATTCACGAACTTGTACCAGGACATGGGGCTCATAAGTGTAGACCTGAGCTGGGCTCCCAGGCTGCTGAGCTTTAAAGCCTGGGTTGAGTGCTACCCCACACAGTTGGAGAGATGCTGAAGCACTCTTTTCCAGAAAGCTTCTCAGCGCAGGATGGCAGGGGGAAGAGGCTTGTCTTCCCTCCAGGACAAGGGCTGGTCAGAGGGCTCTGCAGGTCTGAGGGAGCAGGGGTGGGGAAAACAAGGGGCTCTTGGATGCAGGAGTTGCCTCTTTTGACCACCTGTCTCTCCTTGCAGTGCGGACCAGGCTCTGGACCGGTTTGCAATGAAGCGGTTCTATGAGGATAAGATTGTGCCCATTGGCCAGCCATCCCAAAGAAGGTGGGTCTCTGGGACTCTCAGCCCCATGCATGTATGTGTGCACTCACTGTTTGTGGGGACAAGACTTGTGTACTCACAGGGATGGGAGAGCTGTGCCTAGGTGGGGGTGTATCAGGCACATGTTTTCAGGTGCCAGCCTGCAGTGGTATGAGCTCAGGAGAGCCCGGGAGCCAGCCTGTGGTGTGTGCCCGCAGGTTGGCACAGCACTTGACTCTGAGGCCTGTGCTAGAGAGCAGGGCAACCTTCATGGGCAAGCAGGAGTCTGGGGATAAAAAGGCTCTGGCATAGGAAGGCGTGTGCTGTTCTGGGCCCTGGAGGCAGGATTGCTTCACTGCTTGGATGAGTCTACAGGAGACTGTGTCACTGCCCCCTGCTGTGGGAGGTCAGAGACTCATGATAAGGGTCACCTTCTGTTGGGAGAGTTTAGACAGTTTTACTGAGAGCTTTCAACCGCATGGTCTCATTGGAGTCTCACAATAGCCCAGGCAGGAAACAGGGCAGGGATGGATTTATTCATTCAGCAAACTTTAAATCATCTAGTATGGCTCCAAGCACTGAGATATCTAGGTGAATAGGAAAAAGTCCTTTCCCTTGGTGAACTGATACCCAATGAGAGAGATGGACATGAAACGAATAACCGTACAAACAAGACAATGTCAGACAGCAACGAGGCTAGGAAGGAAAGAGGGCACTGCAGACACGAGAACTGATAGGAGGGGAATGGGGTTCTTTTAAGGGGGATGGTCGGGGAATACCTCTTAAAGGGGGTGAATTTGAGCCTAAACTGGAATCATGGTGAGCTGTCATGTGACGACCTAGGCATCCCATTTTGCAGATTAGAAGCTGAGCCGAGGGAGGGGGCATGGCCAGGGTCTATAGCGAGTAGTTGCAGAACTGGAAAGTACATGAAAGCCTAGTAATGCCTGGGCCAGGGCAGTGCCCCCCGGTTGTGTGACCCACTGTCCTGAGGGATCCTGCTCCGTGGGTGACGTGTTGCTCAATGACATCTCATCCACAGGAAGGCACAGGCAGCATCAGGGGCAGGTGGTCTTTGGGGGAGGCTGCAGCCACGGTGGTGGGAAACCCAAGCCCAAGCTGGAGACCTGGACGGTGGGACACAGGCCCAGTTCCGTTTGCTGCTGGGAGTTGTGGGCCTGCCACTTGCTGTGATGTCAGCACCGTTCTGCACACTGGTGACATGGTGCGGAATCTGCCAGGCAAGGGCATATGGAGCTCAGCTTCTAGTGGATGATACACATATAAGGAAACAATTCAGATAGTCATGAGAGCTGCAAAGAAAAAGCAAACTATGATGGCTAGAGAGTCATGGGGCTGGCAAGAGGGCTGATTCACATGGAAGGGCCTTCCGAGAAGGTGACGTGTAACATGAGTTCTGGGTGGGGAGAAGGAAGCCTCCAAGTGAATGTGCCCAGGGTAAAGGATCCAGACAGAGGAATAGCACTGACTAGAAGGGCCTGGAGGCCAAAGCATCCCATTTGCCTTTTTAGTCCCTGCGCACACTGACTGGGCCAACAAGGGCCTAGAGCTGTGAGTCCTGGAGCTCTTTAGCCTCACCATGCTGAGGGCCTTGCTTGGCTGGCTAGAACTTTGCTGTCCCAGCTGGGGGCTATTCCCACCAATGTAATTGGAAGCCCAAGAAGTGAGTGAGTCCTCAGGCAACCCAGCACCTTATAGTGGGCACAAAACAGTTGATAGCCAGCCTCAGAGTCAGCAACCAGAAATGGGATGTCTTTATGTGCAGAAAATTCTGGCTAGGCCCCCAGACACAGCAGCTGTGGATCAATGAGAGTCTTCTCAGGGAAGAAGAACGATTGGTCAAATACTGCCTTCTCAGTCTCTGGCTTGCCATGTGTGTCTGCTGACCGTAATCACAGTTTGATCTTTGACCTTGAAGGATAAGGATACTAAGAGAGAAGCATGCTGTTCCAATGGCACAGTGTGACTTGGAGAGAATGGGCAGAGAATTACATCTCTGAGTCTGAGCAGTGAAGGTCTGAAGACCAGGGATCAGTGTCACCTCTCAGGAATAGGATTATTTAGGGATTCCCTGGTGTATTAGTCCATTTTCATGCTGCTGATAAAGACATATCCAAGACTGGGCAAATTACAAAAGAAAGGTTTAATGAACTCACAGTTCTACGTGGCTGGGGAGGTCTCACAATCATGGCGGAAGGTGAAAGGCAAATCTCACATGGTGGCAGACAAGAGAAGAGAGAGAGCCAAGGGAAAGGGGTTTCCCCTTATAAAACCATCAGATCTTGTGAGAATTATTCACTACCCTGAGAACAGTATGGGGGAAACCACTTCCATGATTCAATTATCTCTCACTGGGTCCCTCCCACAACACGAGGGAACTACGGGAACTACAACAAGATGATATTTGGGTGAGGATGTGGCCAAACTGTATCACCTGGTGTTCAAAATGCGCTTGCACAGCGTGCCGTTGGGGCGTGTCTGCCTGGCTCCTATCTGACACTGCCTCTGTTTGTGGGTGGGTCACCTCTCTGAGCCCAGATGTGAAAGTGCAACTGTGGGTTTACTATGCATTTGTTGCCACCCTCCTGCCTTCTTGTCAGTGTCACTTGCAGGGAATGGAGCAGATGGAGGAGAGGAAGGCAGGGAAAGAGAGAGGGAGGGGCTTTGCCTGTAGCTCTCTCATTCATTGTCACCCGCCCCCGGACTCATTGTCCCCCGAACACAGACACATCCTGTTGGCGTGATCCAGAGATCTGATAGGAACTGCTATTCCAGGTTTCCGGCTTGAGTAATGGGGCAGGGGTCTGAATAGGAGCGGGTGCTGCCCATCAGATTATCTTACTTGAGTAGTCCGAGGAGGCCCCACCCAAGCCCAGGGACAGAGGCACACAGGCCTGGAGGTGGGCCAAGGAGCCAAGAGACAGCAGGGGATCTTATCATGGTCATGTGGGCTCTAGTTCCACCCTCCTCAGAGACCTACTATTGGCTCCTGCAGAGCCTTGGAATACATTCTGATTGGTCTAACTGACTCAGCTTGGCATTCCCTGGCCAATAAGAAAAGGGAAAATGCTGACTAATCGACGCAGAAGGACTGATCTCTAGTTTATTGGGCAGATGCATTGGGGTCCAGACTTCTTTCCTGCTCTCCCCATCCACTCCCAGCTTTGTGTTTTCTTGCTGTGTGTCTCTGGAGTCCAGTGACCCCTCCTGGACCTTATTTATCCTCTCTGTCTAGAAGGAGAAGGTATGGGTTAGTCCTTCCATTCTTCCAACAGATCTTTGTTAAAGAATTGGGGGATGTTGGCCAGGCGCGGTGGCTCATGCCTGTAATCCCAGCACTTTGGGAGGCCGAGGCGGGCTGATCACCTGAGGTTGGGAGTTCGAGAGCAGCCTGACCAACATGGAGAAACCCCATCTCTACTAAAAATACAAAATTAGCCAGGCATGTTGCTGCATGCCTGTAATCCCAGCTACTCAGGAGGCTGAGGCAGGAGAATTGCTTGAACCCGGGAGGCAGAGGTGGTGGTGAGCCAAGATTACACCATTGCACTCCAGCCTGGGCAACAAGAGTGAAAGTCCATCTCAAAAAAAAAAAAAAAAAAAAAAAAAAAAAAATATTGGGGGATGTTGACCCTAGAGTTAGTAATACTTATTAGAAGCTAGTTACTCGAATACCAAGTAAACTCCAGGATACAGAGAGAGGGACTTCATGCACTTTAGTGTGATGTAGAGAAAGTGAAGAACTACATCTATTAAAGTCTTGCTCACTATTTGCTAGACTGTCCCTTGTGGCTACTGGGTCTGTGGGCAGAACTGGGGCTGTGAGTATGAGCACAAGCTTGATTTGAGCTTTGTGTGGGGGTGGGAGGGTGTCAGAGCTGTTTGGTGGTTGGGCCTGCCTTGTGCAGCTAAATGTTGCCTGTCAGGGATGTGGGATGGAAATTTTGGTACAGCAGGAGATTCTTGGGCTGGGAGTGAAGCAGGAAAGAGATATTCATGTTGACCACCAGAGGGCGGTGGCGAACTCCAAGTGGGATGCTTGGCTTGACCCAGCTCTAGGTCTGGTATACCTGCTCACTCTTCCTACCTGGGGCTTCCAGTAGCGGGCAGGAATGTCTGAGAGGGAGGCCTGGTTGGGGAGGGGGACCATGTTGGTTGGGGAGAGGGTAGAGCAGGTAAGTGATCTAGGGCAATGTTCTTAGAAAAGACAGAACAGTGATTACTGCACCAGTGCAGACCTCTCTCCCTGAAGCTGCTTCTTCCACCACTGCAGGTATGTGCATTACTTCAGTGGCCTGCTCTCCGGCTCCATCAAAATGAACAACAAGCCCTTGTTTCTGCACCACGTGATCATGCACGGCATCCCCAACTTTGAGTCCAAAGGAGGTACCTGCCTTGAGCCCTCCAGCCTCCCCCTTGCCAACTCCTCCCTTTCATCTTCCATCTTCTCCTGTAAGAGGCAACCTTGGGTAGTAACAGACAACACGAGAGTTACAGGGTCAGAAGACTTCCATTGGACTCTCAAGTGCATTGTTTCCTGAACTTTTCTAAGCCCCAATCTATTCATTTCCAAAATGGGTTTGATATTTGCAGTGCCTGCTGGCCAGTGATGTTGGATGGGCAATGTTTTTATAAATTTAGTTTGCTTTACAAGTGAAAAGTTGGCATTTCTTTCCCTTTCTGCTTCCTCTTTTTCTCTTTCCTCTTTTCCTCCTTCCCCTTCCTACCTCAACTTCCCCCGTTCCTTCTTTCCTTTCTCTCTTTCTCCCTTCACTGTCTCCTCTGCCCCTCCCGCCTGCCAGTTTCTGTTGTCTTGGCTAACACCCACCCCACTTTTACAGGATGTCGGCCATTTCTCCGCATCTACCAGGCCATGCAACCTGTGTACACGTCTGGCATCTAGTAAGTATTACATGGGCATGAGAGGCCAGGGATGCCCAAGGCTCAGGGCTAAGGACCAGGTCAGAAGGGTGGGGAGAGGAGAGAGTGTTCTCAAGAGGGCTGAAAGGACAGAGTCAGAGAGGTTTCCCACTAACCCTGTGGCACAGGGGCAGCAGGGAGAAAACGCCCCTCCCTCATCTCCCCTCCAGCAGCCTTCTCTGTTTCTGTCCACCTCTCTCCCTCAGCAACATCCCAGGAGACAGCCAGACTAGTGTCTGCATCACCATCGAGCCAGGACTGCTCTTGAAGGGAGACATCTTGGTGAGTGCTGTTCCTCTGTCTCAAGCCCCATCCTTGTTTATTTTCTCTCTCTTCTTTTCTTACTCCCTTCCTGCCTCTCGGGACAAGACAGCTACTCCTCCTGGGCTGCCAGGCTTGGAACCATAGGCTCTCAGGGCTCTTGGAAGACCTTCCAGTCTCACACAGTCCGTGTCTCTCACCCTGGGCTTAGCTGTTGTTCTGGAGCATCTCCAGGGAAATACCACTCAGTGTGAGCTGTTACCTGCTGGCTTCCTATTAGTGACAAGAACTCTGTGAATTCTAGCTTTAGTCCTTCCTGCTTCCATTTAAATCCATCTTACTTTTTGCACTCTGACTTGTATGCAGAAACTTCTTGGGAGGACATTTTTGTCCCCAGAGGCCAAGGCTGATCTCCAATTCTTTGCTGTTCTAGAAGTTTCCCCACAGAACTCTGAGATCCTGTTTTGTGTTGATGAGCTCTCCCTCATCGGGTTTGGGGTGAGCCTTGGGGGCTCAGTCAGTGGAGCTGATAAGGAGGCTCCCTGGGACCTGACCACCCAGCCTCAGGCCCCTGACTGGTTCTGCCCATCTTCCCACCCAGCTGAAGTGCTACCACAAGAAGTTCCGAAGCCCAGCCCGAGACGTCATCTTCCGTGTGCAGTTCCACACCTGTGCCATCCATGACCTGGGAGTTGTCTTTGGGAAGGAGGACCTTGATGATGCTTTCAAAGGTGCGCTCCTTGAGTGGAGCTGGGGGTGGGCACCCCTGTGGCAGGGAGAGAAGCTCAGTTTGAAAGGATATGGTGGGTATGGGGGCCATCTTTTCTGGGCCACGTGGTCTGTCTAGTCTCAGGGTGACGATGGGAGAGAGTTGAGAGAGACTTGGGAGAGAGTTGAGATCGGGATGGTCTGGGGATTCCAGTTGTTAGTAGAAGTGGAGGAAAATTCCTCCCAGTCCTTGGGCTGTTTTATATCTTGCAGCCTTCTATTACTTTCCCTGTCTCTCCTTCATCTTGTCCTCCTAGTTTGTCACATGTGTCCTATTGATAATCATTTCTTTTCAACATTCATTGGGCATCTGCTTTGTGCTAGGATCTGTACCAAGTGCTGGGGATTCAAAGTGAAACCTGACATGGTCTCTGCCTTGGTGGAGTTCAAAAATCTTGTTGAGTTGGCAGGCAGACCAGCAGGGGATAATTACCCTGTAGGGCAGAAGAGCAATAGTGGAGAGGTGTGGCCGCCGCAAGGGGGAACCATTTTCTGAGAGAAGAAGAGGTGGTTCGGAAAGGTTTGGTGTTTGCTTTTGCTTCTTTCTTTTATTCATTGGAAGTTTTATCTATATCACATTCATGCCTGGGACATATAAATGCACATTTATTTGCCCATCTCTCTCTCCATCCACCAATTCATCCTTACACACATCCATCCATCTATCCATCCATCCATACATCCGTCCTTCCATCTGTCTGTCCATCCATCCATCCATCCACCCACCCATCCATCTACCCACCCACCCATTCATCCATCCATTAATCCATCGCTTCATTCATCTATCCATCCATCTACATATTCATTCATCTGTCCATGTATCCATCTGCCCATCCATCCATCCACCCATCCATCCATCCATCCTCCAAGCATCACTTATGTGTCTATATGTGTCGGGCATGTGCTAGACCCTATAGATATGAACAGAAAGAAGTCAGGCACTACCCTCAGGGAGTTCACAGTTTCCTCAGTGAGAGACACACACACATGATACTACGAAGTGATGCCTGCAGTGATGGAGACATGCACAGGCATGATAGGTGTCCCATAGAGCAGATGCCATCCTTGCTGTAACTTATTTTCCTACAAGCAGTGGGCAGTGATCTGTGTCCAGACTGGGCTCAGGCAGAGAAAGACTGGAACTGGGGCTTGGAGGAGGGTCCAGATCTCCTTAGTGTAGCCTGGCTCATGTAGAAGGGTGTTTCTTTAATGAGCTCTCCTTGCACTGGAGCCAGAAGATGCCATCATAATTACAGTATAGAATGTAAATGATGGCAGTCTTAACAAGGAAAAATAAAGGAATAGCTGATAGAATAAATAAGGCTTTGGGCAGAAGTTGAGAGAAAGGAGGGTCACAGATTTCCTTCTCTTACGTAGTGGGAGTCAGGAAATACCATTGAAAATTGACAGATCAATAAATAGAGGCATGGCCAGGCACGGTAGCTCATGCCTGTAATCCCAGCACTTTGGGAGGCCAAGGCGGGAGCATTGCTTGAGGCCAGGAGTTTAAGACTAGCCTGGTAAATATAGTGAGACCTCTGTCTTTACAAATAAAAACAACAACAAAAAACTAGCCGGGCATGGTGGTGTGTGCCTGTCATCACAGCTATTCTAGGGGCTGAGGCAGGAGTATTACTTGAGCCCAAGAGTGCAAGGCTGCGGTGAGCTATGATTGCACCGCTGCACTTTGGCCTGGGCAACAGAGTGAGACCTGGTCTCTAAAAAGAGAACAAGAAATAGAGGCTTAACTATTTTATTTAAAGTTTCAAAGACAATCAATAGAATAAATGAAAACAATAATCAGATTTAAGAAGAGAGGAAGTGGGGATAGTAGTGAAAGTGAACCAAATTATTCATATTCATAGTGGTCAATCCACAGAAGTTATTTAACATTCATGTCTGACTGGGTATGGTGGTTCACACCTGTAGACCCAGCACTGTGGGATGCTGAGGCCAGTGGATTGCTTGAGCCCAGGAGTTTGAGACCAGCCTCAGCAACACAGCAAAACTCTGTCTCTACAAAAAATACAAAAATGAGCCGGGCGTGGTGGCTTGCACCTGTAGTTCCAGTTACTCTGGAGGCAGAGACAGGAGGACCACTTTGGCTTGGGAGAGTGAGGCTGCAGTGAGCTGTGATCGCACCACTGTACTCCATTTAGGGTTACAGAGCAAGATTCTGTCTCAAAAATATAAATATGCATTCCAACCTGGGCGACAGAATGAGACTCCATCTCAAAATAAAATAAAATAAAATAAAATAAAATAAAATAAAATAGGTATCTGGAAATAGTGGCATAAAAATAATGGCTATTATTTAGAGTCTTAGAGGTAAATTGCTAGTAGAAAAGAAATGGAAATACAATCAGTTACCTCATTACCTCAGGCAAGTAGGACAGGGGCTAGAGTGGCAGGAGATTTAATTTCATTGTATAGATATAATTTCATGTATATATATATAAATATACGTTGATTATTATATTATTAACCATGTACATATATGGTATTTTAATTTTTTCTAGAAGAAAACTTTTTATGGAGTCCTTTTTGGGACTTTTTGCCTATTTTTGTTTTTCCTTCTCTTTTTCCAGACGATCGATTTCCAGAGTATGGCAAAGTGGAGTTTGTATTTTCTTATGGGCCAGAGAAAATTCAAGGTATAACCCAAGTTAGAATTCATTCTCTCACTCCTTCCTTTTATCCTGACCCTATCCCCACCACCCTTCCACCCCGGTCTGTTCCACAATGACAAAGTTATCTTTGAGACGCAGGCCATCAGTAGAGGATCTGGGTTTCAGAGTGGACCCCTAGCTAAACATGAATCAGGGACTTAATCTCTGGATAATAAAAATAAAAAAGCAGACAGAGAGGCACTGGGTTGGATAAACTGTTCTGGTCACATTAGGTCATCAGCCTGTTATATTCAGAGAGTGAGGGCCACCGTAGATGGAGGGAGTGGCTGGCGGGCAGGGGACACTCAAAGGTGCTGGATAGACGATGCGTATTTATGAGAACTGAGGTGATTCAACCTGAAGGCCAGTTTAATAATAACCTTGAAGCCTCTAGACTGGTTATAAGTGGAGACCAGTTGTTCACCATCTTATTTGAGAATGGAATGAAAGGGGATGAAGTTAGATTATGTGCAGAGGGACTCTGGATAGACTAAAGAAAGGACTGCCAAGCCAGGAAGGTAATTCGCCCTAACAGACTTGACTAGCAGCTATGCTGTCTTTGAGCTGGGTTTTTAAACATTTATTTATTTATTTATTTTTATTTTACCTGAAGTTCTGGGATACATGTGCTGAATGTGCAGTTGTGTTACTTAGGCATCTATGTGCCATGGTGGTTTGCTGCACCTGTCAACCCATCATCTACTTTTAAGCTCTGCATGCATTAGGTATTTGTCCTAATGCTAAGCTGGGTTTTCTGTGGGTGGCTAGGAGATTCTGCCGTGCTCGCTAGGTTTCTGTCTGGAGTGGAGAGCATTTTAAGAGGGGGCGGGGCCATGCCCGGGATGACCTTTGGAGGCTTTATGTCCTTTCAATGTCAGGGCTGTGATTTCCTTGCTGTCCCTGACCCCATGCAGCTCTTAACCAGCCTGCCTCCCAACCCCAGGGTCTGACTCCAGGGGCAGACTTCCTAGTCTCTTGGCACTGCCTCAGAAGCCCCAGGGACACAGAAGAGAAAGAGGCAGACACCCAGCCAGGGGTCCTCCCTGCTTTCTTCCAGGGGGTCATCATTCTTCAGCGCCTGTCCTGGTTTACCCCTATGACCCAGCATGAGCCTTTTCAAGAATGTAAGAAACTGGACTCCCAGTTCTCAGTCCAGCTTAAACCACTGGTCCCGCCCGCCATGCTCAAGAAAACGAGAAGTCCCTCAGGGAGCATCTTTTGGGGAGCTTGTGGGCTTTCTCTGTTTTTCCAGCTGCTGATCCTTTTCCCTCTCTGCACTGTCTCCCTGACTGCCCCTGCCTTTCCCATCCCACTTAGGCATGGAGCACCTGGAGAACGGGCCGAGCGTGTCTGTGGACTATAACACCTCCGACCCCCTCATCCGCTGGGACTCCTACGACAACTTCAGTGGGCATCGAGATGACGGCATGGAGGGTAGGTGGGACCCAGTGGCTCCCAGCCCCTATCCAAACTGCACAGCCTCTGCTCACATGACCTTGCTTCTCTTGGCCTGCTGTCAAGAGATCTGGGTTCGAGAGGAGGCAGAGGGGAAGTCTGAGGTGCCTCTGAGAGTTCACAGTTCACTGGGGGAAGATAAGGCACATCGATGAATATATTAAATAAAAATCAGGACAGAGCCAAGGAAGGCAGCAAAATGGCCACAAGGGGGTTATCGTGGAAGTGTATTGCTGCAGCCAAGTAAGTTCCATGGACAGTGAGTTCCCTGGGATTGGCAGGGAGGGATTTTGAGAGCTGGAGTGATCTGGGAAGACTCCTTGGAGGACGCGGCCTTGAGTGGAGCTTGAGATACTCCCCGTTGTGCTGCAGAAACAGCATTTGTCATGTGTGTATTAAACCCACTGCTGGGTTTCTTCAGGCTCGCTGCCTGAGTTCTCTGGGGTCAGAGTACTAGGAACAGAGACACAGGATCTAGGGCCTGCAAGCTTTCGTCAACAGCCAACAAAAACGTTTGAGAGCTGGGAACAAACTGATAGGCTCTGAAATTTGAAAAGAAGCAACAGCATTGAAATTAATACATGTTTAATTTAGCTACAAACCCAACGTTATGTCAAATCGTCCACTGCAACTCAGGTCATCTCTTGAGAGTTCTATTTATGTATGTGGTTTATCTGCATATGTGTAAGGAGACGTGGGGCGGGCTCTGAAAGTGAGCATGCCCGGAGCCCAGGAACTCTGTCTGGGGTTTGGCCACGAGCTTCTTTTCTTGAGTTGGTCGTAGGACCGCAGAATGTTGGAGCTGGGAGGACCTTCGGGATGGTCCAGCCCATTCCCGATCTGTGTTCAGTTGGGGTGACTGAGACCTCTCCCAGAGGCAGACCCTCCTGATTTGCCCCCATGACTCAGGATGGCCCTTTCAAGGATGCCAGCACCCAGCGTCCGGCTTCTCCCAGCCGAAGCCAGTCCTGGGTGGGGCTGTGCCATCCTGGGGCCCCTGGGGCCCATGGCAGAGTTGAGTTAGAGACAGGCAGGCCTGGGGGCCTCCTCCTGCCCTCCTTCCTCTACACAACTCTGTCTTCTGTCTCCCTCCCCAAGGTTTTGTATTTGATGACTCCTCTCTGAAAATCTTTGGGCCTTTTCTCGAATAAAGATTTCTCCTCTGACCTTGGGGGGCACAAGAATGTGCAGAAAGTTTCAGAGAGAGGTGGGGATGAGGGAGAGTGGTTGGACTAGAATTTGTGGACTTGCTGAGAGCACATTTTTTCTGTGCAGTGTCGAAAAGTGGATGGCCTGTCCTCACACCTGCCTCAGTTCCCAACCCCTTTCTGGGGTGCTTTTCCTCCCCCAGGGGCCCAGCACCCTTGGATTGGCCAAGACACCCCACCAGGCCCCTCCGACCCCCCAGGCTGCTCCCGAAAAGCACTCCTCCATCCCCTGGCACTAAGTGGCCAAGCAGAAAGCAGAGACTGGAGCGAATTTGTTCTGAGGTCTCAGTGGCTGCCAGCCTAATTGGTCGTTGTGCTGGGGATGTTTGCATTTTTAACAAGAACACTTGGCAATTGGAAAGAATTTTTACTGTCTCTCCATCTCTCCTTGGTGCACAGTCAATGCGATGATAAATGTAGAAACATTTAGTAAACTATAAAGTGCCAGGCAAATAAAAGGTAAAATAATTAAGGGCAAGGAGGAGATGTGGGAAAGACGGGGCTTAGGATGTAGTTGGCTGTTGGGGAAGGAAGAAGAGCAGACGGTCAGAGTGGGAGGCAGCCCAGGGACAGCAGAGCCGAGAGTGGTTCCCCCTCTCGGCAGAGGGCCAGCTTCTCAGCCTCCAGACAGGGCCCCTCTGTCCTTGCAGGACGAGCTGACCTTTAGCTGGCCAAAAGATCCCGCTGGTTCCATCCCTCTGTCTGAGGGAATGGATTAGAAGGGAAAAAAGGAAGGGCTGGGGGGCAGAAGAGGCAGCCAGGACCTTCCCTCACCAGCCCTCTGTCTCCTCTACCTGCCTGTAGCAGCCTTCATGAGAGGCAGTTTAGCATGTGGTTAAGAATGCAGCCTTTGCAACCAAACTACCTGGCTTCAAATCCTTTGACAAGATACTGTCCCTTGGGGCCTTGGTTTGCCCTGCTGTAAAATGGGGAGTCAGTCAACAGATCATTTTGAGCCCCTTGTGGGCAGCATGACCTGAGGAGGAGCTGCAGGTTGTGTGTCCTTGGGGGTCCCTGACACATTTGTGTCAACTGTGGCCAGCGTGTCAGGTGCCTGCAAGACATGGCTAAGGGAAAAGGCCTGGATTTATCACGCACCAGCCATGACACCAAGAACTTGGTAGTTGTCATTTCATTTGATGCTCCCAGCCATTCTGTGACTCTTATTATGTTCGAATGGGGAAACTGAAGCACAGAGGGGTTAAGTAACCTGACCCAGCTTGCCAAGCCAGTCAAGAGCAGATCTGGGTTTCAAGCCACCGCACTGCCCACCATGCCGTCCTGGGTTGGCTGACGTCCCTAGGGGCCAGCTCTGGGCATCTGGTTTTGTGGCAGTACCTGGGTCCCACTGAGCCTAGTACCTCTCTGGCTGCTACCTCTCACCCACGGACAGAGAAGTTCACCCAATCCTGACTGTGAGAAAGAGGGAGGGTTAGGCGAGGGGGGTGCGCTGGAGCGTGGCACCCCGGAGGCCGTTGGGCTCGCCCTGAGGCAGGTGTTCAGCAAGACTTCAGTGCAGGCAACAGCTGAGCCCCTGCTCCACCCACAGAAAAGAGTGTGCGCCGCTGACTCAGGAATGCTTCTGATGAGTGGCTGGCCTCTCGAAATAGGTAGAGGGAAGGGTGTCCGAGGTGACCTGGGGCCATTTCTGAAAGTGGCCCCCTGCCTACCTCTTCTATTTCAGGCCCACTGCGGGAGGGTGATAGTAGGGGCCAGACCATTCCCTCTGGAGCCCACCAGGAGACTCAGATGGCGGGGGCAGGGAGCACCCAGCCAGGTAGTCAGCAGCAGATGTCATCTCTGGCCTGCATCCTCTAGTGTGGCCTGTGTCCCCACCTTGCCCTCTCCTGGCAGTGAGGCATGGCCAGCACCGGGCTCAGAGCTCCTGGTCCCCTAGGAGGCCCTCCTGCTGCCGCTAACTTAACCATCATCTCAGGAACTGCTCTGCGTTTAACCCTTTCCTCACTGCCTGCAGTCCCCCAGACCAACTCCAAGTTCAAGTTTATAGCTAGCAGTACTGTGACACTTAGAGCCTTCTCCCAAATTCTGTTGAATTTCTGTTCTCGCAGGCTGACTTCTCAGGCTCAGGTGGCCAGGCTAGTCATAAAACCCAAGAGGGAGGGGGCTTTCCAATAGGGCAGGAAACCCCCATGTATGGACCCTCCTTGGCATTAGCTCAGCTCAGCCTGTGCCAACCCCATTTCCTGGATGAAGACCCTGGAAGTAGGCCGAGGTTAGCAATCTTGTCCAGAGTCATGAGACAAGAGGTGGAGTTGATATTGGAATCCAAATCCCTTTCTACCTCCCTTGGAGCTCAGCTTACCAGCACCCCAGAACCCACACCCCTAATCCATTCAGGTGGCTCCTTCAGGATCATTGTCTCACTTCGCAAGCCCTAATGATGACAGGGACTCACTACCACACAGGGAAGCCCGTTTCATGGTGGGATGGGTCCAGCTGTGTCTCTGTGTAGCAAGCTGAGGCTGTGGTGGAGACTTTGGGCTCACCTGCTCCTGGGCCAGGAGCAGGGGGGCGTGATGAGGGTGAAGAATCAAATGGAAGCTCAATAATAAGGACCCTCTGACTGGACAAAGTTGTCTGTTGTGGGACAGTGGCCAGGAGCGGGGTGTCTGCCATCTTGGGTACCCTTTATTTCCAGAGCAGTGCCTTCTGCTGCTTCTCATACCTAAAGTATTATTAGTCTGCTCAGGCAGCACAGCAAAGCACCACAGACCCGAGGGGCTTGTGCAACAGAAATGAATTTTCTCACAGTTCTGGAGGCTACAGGTCTGAGATCCAGGTTTCAGCAGGGTTGGTTTCTCCTGAGACCTCTCTCCCTGGCTTGAAGATGCTGTCTTCTTCCTGTATCTTCACATCGTCTTCCCTCTGCATGTATCCTTATCCTCATCTCTTCCTATAAAGACACCAGATGTATTGGAGTAGGGCTCACACTAATGATCTCTTTTCACCTTAATTGCCTCTTTAAAGGCTGTGTCTCCAAATACAGTGGCATTCTGAGCTGCTGGGGGTTAGGATTGCAACACAGGAATCTGAGTGGGGCAACAGTTCAGCTCTTCACACCTGAGAAGGAGTTTTCTGGGTCACATGTATTTGGATGCCCCAGGCCTTTGATCCTGAGTGGGGAGGAAGGGAGGTCAAGGATGGGTGGTGGGGAGAGGTCTGGTCCCCTCCTTGCAGGAGCCTCTGCCCCTCTCCAGTTAGGTCTGGAGCCTGCCAGCTCAGTACTCTGGCTAACACCAGTTTTGCAGCCTCCAGAAGCCCCATTAGCAACTTGGCCTGAGATCTGACGCCCCGTGCCCAGATTCCAGGTCCCCATGGGTAGGGGTGGCGCTGTGTTTTTGCCTCTGCTGTATAGAGCAGGCTCCAAATTCCTCCATAGTGTTCCAGGGCAAGCCTTCTCGGAAGCAAGCCCTGAACCAAGGGATGTGGGCTGTCCTCTGCCTCTGAGAAGCCTGCAGGCTGACCAGGCCTGGGTTCCTCCCTGCCTTCTCATCCATCTCCACCTTTCCGTGACTTCCTTGGACATTGGTTGTTTAGAGTTTCTCTTGACTCAACAGAGGATAGGAACAGGGGTTGGGCAAGTGAGGGGTGCTCTCAGAAAGTAGATTTCTCAGGGACAAAGGACAGGGTGACGCAGGGGAATGACAAGCCTCCCAGCCTGGCTGACAAGGGTGAGGGGCTGGTGTCCACCCCACTTCTGGGTTTCTCCTGGTTGGCAACCATCAGTACTTCCTTTGTTTCCATGGATAA